CTCCCCCCCCTCCCCCCCCTCTCGCCGTCCCTGTTTTGTCGCCCGAGGGGCCTCGGGCGCTCCTCGCGGCGGCGTGCGCGCTCTCTTGGTCCGGGGGGCGCCCGAGAAGAGAGTGGTTACTATAGGTGTTGTGGATATCATTGCGTGGACCGTGATAGTTCCCCAGATGTCATGGCGCCTCTTATCTCGTTACGTCCCCGGGCCTCCCCCCCTCTAGGGCCGCGCACATGTCGCCGGCCATGATTTGCGCCCCCCCCCCCCTCTTGGACACCCCCATCTTGGCCGCCCCCGATTGGTGCCGCGGGTGCGATCACAGAGCCTCGGCATCGCTCGGACGTGTGTATTTTCCGGCCACGGTTACCGGTAAGTCGGGCCTGTCCCTCCACAGAAGGAATATTCCAAAATGGCAAAAAATAGTCTGGGGACGTTTAGACTATTCTTGATGATTCGGGGGGTATTGTTCGACTATTCTTTTTTCATCCAAAATCCCCTTGTAGGGGGACAGGCCCGACCTAAGAAGGTTACCGCTGCCTCGGTTGGCTGCCCTGGCCCGCCCGACGCGGAAGTCTTCCACGTGTGAGCGCTCTCCTCCTTGCGACTCCCCCCGCGCGGCCGCCCTCGCTTTCTCTCCCCCTCATGCACGGCGGACGAGTCGCCTTTGGGTTGCCTCGAGTGGCCACACGCTGGAGCGGGCTGCCTCTGCCTCGCCGCCGACGGAGCAGACAAGTATTTGTTCCGGCGGGCACCAACCGTAGGCAGGCAGCACGAAGCAGGCAGCGAGCGGCAGCATCCTGCAGCACCAGTCAGCAGCAGCGAACGGCAGCAGCACGAAGCAGGCAGCAGCGGCGGCAGCATACAGCAACCGCAAGCACCAGCAGGCAGCGGGCAGCGGCACGCACCAAGCACAACTGGCCATCATCAATACTCTGGAGCCACAAGCAGCAACAAATGTAGCAGCGGCAAGCATCACCAACATGACCGAAACAGCGGCAGCACGCAGCAACACGCAGGGAAACGTGCGGACTGCTAGTGTCGAGCCCAACGTTATTCATCTCATCCTTCCGGCGGCATGTGCACAATAGCGTGCCAGTTCGTGCAGATTTCGTGGGCGTCGTCCGTGGGTCAGCCCTAGTCAGCTACAGTGCTGGGATCAGCGCGTGCGAAAAGAGCGAGCAGTGGCAGCGGGCGCTGGCGCTGCTGAGCGAGATGCAGGAGGCGAAGCTGAAACCCAACGTCATTAGCTATAACGCTGGGATCAGCGCGTGCGAGAAGGGCAAGCAGTGGCAGCGGACACTGGCGCTGCTCAGCGAGATCATCTCGCTCAGCAGCGAGATGATCTTGCTCAGCAGATCGCGCATCACTGGGGAGGCGAAGCTGGAGCCCAACGTCATTTCTCCTACATGGCTGGGCCCCGCTCGTGCGGGAGGAGCGCTGTCCAGATAGCTCATCCAGCGTCTGGAAGGCCCCCAGAGGCGCCTGCAGAGCTCCCAGGTGCTCCCCACACGCCCGTGCCGCTGCGCCTGTGACGGCCAAGGGGGGTCCAAAGAGTCCTCCGAGATGGGCCGAGTGGACTCCGAGACGGTCCGAGAGTGCCCGAAGACGTCCGAGACGGCATCCCCGAGGCCCCCGAGACGTTTCAAGAGGGCTCCGAGCGGAGTCCCCAGACAGCCCCAAGAAACGCAGATCGTTCTCAAGTTCCTTCGTGCTCGTGCTCTCCGTCACTCGCTCGTGCTCTCCTCGCTCTTCGTGCTCGTGCGTTTCGTCTCTTGCTCGACGCACAGCGCCGTTATTCTCGTGCTCCTCGTCCTCGAAGCGCCCAGCACCACCACACGGGCCCCCAAGATCGCCCCAACACGCTACGACGTGCCCCCTCGGCCGGCACCCAGGCGGCCCCAGGCAGCCCAGGAGGCGCCACGGACGACCCAAGAGGCACCCAGGCGCGGCCCCGAGAGCCCAGGGCGGCACGATGGAGGCCACCCGGCCGGCCCGGGCCCAGGGAGGCTCCCAGGTGAGGCCGAGAGGAGGCTCCCGGAGGCTCCCAAAGCGGCCCCCGCGAGGCGGGCCCGGAGGACTCCAGGATGCGTTCGAGGAGGGCCCGAGGATGGTAACAGCAAGCAGGGCACGTCCCTCCAAAGGAGGAGTCTTCCAAAATAGTTTAAGAGATTATCTGGGGACGACGCTTTGACCATGTTTGATTATTTGGGGGGTATTTTTGTTGACACGTCCAAAGCCCGCCTGTAGGAGAACATGCCCGACCTAAGGCTGGCCTGGAGGACTCCAAGATGAGTTTGAGGAAGGCCCGTGGATGGTACACTCATCAGGCTCCGTGTTGGTATGGCACGGGCGTGCGAGAAGGGCAGCTTGTTTCCCTAGGCCAGCCCTGGGCTGCGTTGCCTCGGCGGCTCCGCTCGGGGGGCGACGCCGTCCTCGACGCCCAGATGCCTCCTGGCTCGCCTCCACCCAAGTCCGGCAGTGCCCGACACGGCCTCGGAGTGCCCCGACGCGTTTCCAAGAGGGCATAGCCCCCGGACAGTCCCAGGACGGCACCCGAGCGCTCCATACAGCTCCCGAGGCGGCCCCAAGAGAGCCCCAGGATGCGCCCAGAAGGCCCTCCACGGAGCCCGAGGGGGCCTCCAGAGGGCACCACGATGACGCAGGAGGCCCCACGGAGAGCCGTGAGACGGGCCCAGCGAGCCCCGACACAACCCCCAGATCCAGCACCAGCAGAGCCAGCAGCGGCGCCATGAGCAGTTAGCAGACGCAAGCCTTAGCAGAAGTCAGCACTAACAGGCAGCAGCAGACTGCATCATAAGCAGCCTCGCCGAGCAGACGCAAGCCTTAGCAGACGCAAGCCTTAGCAGAAGTTAGCCTCGCCGAGCAGTAGAAACGCAGCAGCACCAACACGCGTTCATATCACCTGCGCCAAGCAAGCACGCATCAAGCAGCAACAGCCAGCACCAAGCAACAGCAATCAGCAGCACCAAACTACGGCAAGCAGGTGCCAGCACCAGTCAACAGTTGGCAACAGCAGAAACGAGAAACAGCTAACAGTAGCAAGCAGCAGCAATCAACACTGAGCAATAACAACCCGCAGCAAGTGGGAGCAAGCGAATCGCAAGAAGCTAGCACCTAAGAAATCAATCCAGCAGGCCGGCATACAAGCAGGCAGGCATGCCAGCAATACGTCGGACCGCAGGTTAACAGCCACACAAACAGAACCAGCAGCAAGGCGGGCAGTGGCAGCGAGCTTTTTGGTGCTGATCGGCGATGTGCGGGAGGCGGAATTGGAGGCTGGCGTTGTTTCTCCTCCAACTATACCGGGAACAGTGCGTGCGAGAATCGAAGACGAAAACGCGGCATAAACATAAGCTTGTGGCGCTCCGCGCGGACTTCTTGGATCCGCGCTGGGCCCCCCGGCGTCGCCTCCGGCGCCGCCCCTGGCGCGCTCCGCGCGAGGGAGGGGGGTCCGGCGGCTCCGAGCCGCCGAAGCGGGCGCCCCGGCGGCCCCACGTCGGCCCCGAGCCGCTCCAGAGGCCGCCCCGACGACCCCAAGATGGCTCCGAGCCGCTCAAGAGGGCGCCCCCGACGGCCACAGGGGCGCTCCCAGCCGCTCGAGAGGCCGCTGCGACGGCCCCGAGGGCCCCCATTGCTGGTCAGGAGCCTCCGAGGACGGCCCTCGAGGATTCCCCAGGACGGCCCCGAGACGCAAAAGTCGTCCCATTCCCGTCGGGAAGCTCTCATTTTTGGCATTCTCGTGCTTCTCGTTTCCGACGCGTCCACGACGGCCACAGAGACCCCCAAGATCGACCCAAGATGCCCCAGGGCACCAAGACGGGCCCAGGACGGCCCAACAGGCGCCCAAGACTGCCCAAGAGGCGCCCAAGACAGCCCCAAAGACGGCCCAATACGGCCCGAAGACGGCCCAATAGGCGCCCAAGACGGCCCACGACGGCCCCAAGATGGCCCAGAAGGCACCCAAGACAGCCTTAAGAGCCGCCCATGACGGCCCCCAGACGGCCCAAGAGGCGCCCAAGACGGCCCAAGACGGTTCCGAGACGGCCCAAGCGGCACCGACGAGAGCCCAAGAGGGCCTTCAGAGGCCCACTGGAAGCCGAGGGGCTGACCGCCATGTGGATAGCTTTTCGGCCGCATTCCCGCCGCTCCCCTGAGAATACGCTCGGCCAGGTGTCGTGGACGGAGTCCACGGGTCAGCCCTAGTCTTTCCCACAATGCCAGGGACTGTGCGTGCGAGAAGGGTTTCTGGAAAGAGTGGTAGAAGGCGGCTCCGAGCCGCTAAAGAGGGCGCCCCGACGGCCCCACGACGGCTCCGAGACGCTCCAGAGGCCGCCCCGACGGCCCACAGACGGCGCCGAACCGATCAAGAGGGCGCCCCCACGAACCTAAGACGGCTCCGAGCCGCTCCAGAGGCCACCCTGATGGCCCCAGGGAAGCTCTGAGCCAGTCAGCTACAACGCTGGGATCAACGCGTGCGAGACGGGTGGTGAGCAGTGGTAGCGGGGCGTGGTGCTGCTCAGCGAGATGTGGGAGGCGAAGCTGGAGCACGACGTCATCGACCCTACAACGCAAGGGGGATCCGCGCGACAGGAGGAACAATTATTCAACAGGCTGGCAAGCGGCCCCCCCCGGAGGGGAGCCTGGAGCGCGCAGGGGCCAGCCAAGGCGGCACAAGAGGACCCCAAGACGGTCCAAGATGGTCCGAGGCGCCGGGGACGGAAAGAGGCGGCCAATAATAGACAACCCCACAGGGCCGCAAGTCGGCCCAAGAGGGCTCCAATAAGCCCCCCTCAAGGACCTCGTGGGTCACAATCATGTGCGTCTCTTGTGTTCTTTTCGACGGGCTTAAGTTTTCTCACCTCTTCGGAGTCTCGATGCTCCAAGACGGCCCCAGATGCCCCCAAGTTGGCTCCAAGACGGCAGGAGAGGTCCCCAGTGGAGCTCCCAGACGACCTGCGAGGGCCCCAAGACCACCCAAGAGGCCTCCAAGACGGCCCCAAGAAAGGCCCCGCGATGGGGAAACTCGAGCTGACATGTCGCGCCCTCCGCTCCAGAAGCCGACGGCAGACGGCAGGCCTCCAAGATGAGGCCTGCCAGGAGCCCCAAGAGGCTCAACTCTTGTGGAGGACGATCAATGGAGAGGAAGCACGTTGCCAAATACTTACTTTCCAGATGTCTAAAGCATGTGTCAAACATATCTCAAACGTGTAACAAACATGTTTCAAGCATTTTCAGGACATTCCTCCGACAGTTTAAACAAATGTTAGAAGTTCGATGATAGGACTATTAGGGTGTCCATTGTCGTGGCATCCACAACTCAAATCAGGTCCCCAGAGGCTCCCGAGAGGCCCTCAGGCAGCCCCAAGTTCGTCTCCAGGAGGCTTCCAGGGGAAGGCCCCTGAGAGAGCTCTGAGACCGCGCCGGCCACGCCGAAGAATCATGCACCCATGCGCCTCTCAGTTTCTCTTCTTCTTTGCTAAGGCTGCGGTCTGAATGGGCGACTCGTCGGGGAGTTCTCTCTGAGAGTGCTCTGGAGTGCTTTCAGTCTTCTCCCGAGCCCACGCAGCCCGCGCGCATCCTCCGACCTCCTCGGGCGGCCACAGCCACCATGGAACATCGTTGGAAACTAAGGCCCACTGTTGCTTCTTAATTTCCAGCCTTGGCCGTATTACGGCCTCAAGGAGGCTCAAAATCATGGTCGGGCGGCCCCAAGCTCCCATGTCCCGAATGGCAGCAGCACGAAGCACAAAGCAGGCAGGCAGCAGCGGCAGCACGCAGCAACAGCAAGCAGCAGCAGCAGCAGCAGCAGCAGCAGCAGCAGCAGCAGCAGCAGACAGCAGACAGCGGTCAGCAGCGCGCACCAAGCATACGCACCCTGCAGCCACAAGCAACAACAACACGCAGCAGCGGCAAGCACTACCACCAGCAGGCAACAACGCCAGCAACCAGCAGCCAGCAGCACGCAGTAGCATGCGCTGAGTGCGAGGGTCGAGCCCCACGCGGTAATTTTAGCCTGTCGGCAGCATGTCCACAATCCGTGCCAGTTCGAGCAGATTTTGTGGACGGGGTCCACGGGTCAGCCCGGGTCAGCTACACGTCTGGAATCAACATGTGCGAGAAGGACGAGCAGTGGCTGCGGTCGTTGGCGTTGCTCAGCGAGATGTGGGAGGCGAAGCTTGAGCTCGACGTCATCTCTTCTGCAATGCCGGAACCAGTGCCTGCGAAAAGGGCCTGGGGCCCACTGGATTTGGGAGCCTCGTGCCGCAATCGGAGGGTTTCAGGACGCGTCCGGAAAGGCTCCAGAGAGCCCCAGATGGCCCCAGGATGGCCCAAGATTGTTTCAAAACGGTTCCAGATGACCCGAAAGGTGCCGCAGGACGGCCCAACAGGGCCCCAAGACGGCCCAAGAGAGCTCCAAGAGGACGCGGAGAAGTCATCATCAGTGATCCCCCATACGTTTTTCAAACAATGCTATTTTCTCACCTTTTCGAGCTTCCGATGCTCCAAGACAGCCCAAGAGGCCCCCAATATCGCCCCGCGGCGCAACAGGCCCCCCAGAAGGCCCCCAGGCAGCCCAAGAGGGCCCCAAGACGGCCCAAGAGGCCCCCAAGACGGCCTATGACGGTTCCAAGGGGGGACTTGGAGCTGGCATCTCGCACCCTCCGTCCAATATGACACCCGAGACCGCCAGCATGCCCCCAAGAGGCCCCCCTAGGAGCCCCGGGAGGCCCCGAAGAGGGCCAGCACAGGCCCCCTGAGAGGCCCCAAGACACACCCCCAAAACAGCCTCCAGGAGGCTTCCGAGGGAATGATCCTTCTCGAGAGCCCAGGAGAGCCCCACGGGCGGCCCCAGAGGAGACACGATGTTCGGCCACACGCGCGCCGAGGCTGCTGAGACAGTCGTGCGCTGGCCTCTTCTCGTGCCTCCCTTCTCGCCCCCTGCTCCACGCTCCTGACTCTCTCGTCGCTCTCCGCCTCTCTCTCTCTCTCTCTCTCCTCGCTCCTGGATTCTCTCTTCTTACTCCTCCTCGCTCCTCACACCTCTCTCCTGGCCCCGATCTTCTCCATCTTGTCTATTGGCGTCTGCCTCCCCCCTCCTTCGGCTCTCTCTCTCTCTCTCTCTCTCCCATTCCTCCTTGCTTCTTTCTCTCTCTCTCTCTCTCTCTCACTCTCTCTCCTTGACCGTTGCTGCTCAGTTCTCGCTCCTTGCTCCTCGCTGATCGCTTCTCGCTCCCTCCCCCCCTCGCCCTGACTCCTCGCTCCTTGCTCCCTGGTCCACTCACGAGCTGCAGGTTACCTCATTCAGCAACAGCAATAGCATCAGTCCGCAGCAAGCAACGGCAGCGCACAGCAACAGTAAGCATCAGCAACATGCCGCAGGCAGCAGCACCCTGCAGCTGCAGGCAGCAACAGCAGATGCGAAGATCGGGCCCAACGTCATCACAGAAGTCTTTGAGCAGCATATCTGCCTTGGCCCCACGCGCCGTATCGAACACATTCGTGGTTGGTAGGCCACGGGTCAGCCTTGGTCAGCTACAATGTTGGGATCCGCGCGTGCCAAAAGGGCGAGCACTGGCAGCGGGCTCTGGTGCTGCGGAGCGAAGTGTAAGAGGCGAAGCTGGCTCCGAATGCAGCCAGCTACGGCCGTGCGATCGTCGCTCTGATGCGAAGAGGCGATACGACAAGCTAAATAGCTTCAACGCTCGGGGCGCGCTCCGCTCGCTTGAGAAGGGATGCTGGGACCACCATGCAGTGCGTCACGGGTTATCCGAGTGACAGCATCTCTTATTGCAGGGTCGATTCGGTTCTTAGGATCCTGGGATCAAACCTACTCATGACACCTCCCAGGAGCTCTCAGTGATGTCCTCCTAGATCCCGAGAAGCTAGTGGCTCCACATACCGTAGGTTCATGCGGCGTTGGCGCGCCGGCGACGCCAGCGACGGTGTTCAAGGTTGAATCCTGCGACGCGGAAGCACCGATGGACACGGTAACGCCGCTGGACCCGACTGGAACGATCGGGGCCGCGATCGATTCGAGGTTGAACGGTAGACGCGTTGCCAAACGCTTGGGCGCTCGCCGACGTCGCACGAACTTGCCGTTGTTCATGTGTTTGTGTATTGGCCGCGGCTTGGCCCTGCTCTGAGCGGGCCCGGCTTCCTCTCCCTCCCGCCCGCGCCGGGCCTCCTCTCCTCCCGCGTGCCCTGCGGCTTAATTCGCGTTTCGCGCGACCCACCAAATAGTGCCACATCGCCGGAGCAGTCCCTCTGCCCAGCCGCCGGCGAAAAAAAGTGTGTGCACTGCTCGCTGTGCTTCCAAGGGGGCCTGCGGGCCGCCGCGGGAACTTGCGCCCTCGCGGGGCCAGGCTCCTCCCCCGCCGCTCGTCTCGGGCGGCGAGGTGATGCGCGCTCCGAGTTTTTTAGTAAGCGTCGAGGGGGCGTCAGCCCCGCCGACAGCCCCGCATCGACCCCCGTCGCGGGCAGCCACCGCGCGCCGAAGACGCTCCGACCCCCGTCGCGGCGCGACGACGAGGCGAGGTTGACCCCCTGTCGGGGGGGTACCCCCCCACGCTTATCAAGAAACCCAGAGTGCACTGCTGCCTGGCCAGGCCCACCCTGAAGCCAGGAGCTGCGTGCGCGGGCAATGTCTATATCCACATCCAGTGCGTCTTGGAGTGTCGGGCTCTCTTCCCCAGAAACATGAGGCGCACTGGATATGGATTAAAATCTGGCCCCCGAAAGGGTAATTGTTTATCCATATCCAGTGCGCTTCGTCCTTGCGGCGCCCCTTCCAAGAATGTCCAAGACGCACTGGATGTGGATATCAGTATTGCCCTCAGTGTACACGCCCTCCTGGCCTGGTCAGGAGGGCGTGGCCTCCAGCCTTCTGAGAGGTTTGTTTTGGTTGTTTTTTGTTTGCGTCTCCGGGGAAGCCTCAGTCGACTTCTCAGATGACCGGGGGACTTCCGAGCCTTCTGGGTGCGTGCAAACCGCTGCTGGGTCCAGGATGGGCCTGGCCAGGGAGCAGTGGGTCCCCCCCGGTCACCTGCCCCATTGGCAGTGGCGCCTCCCCCATTGGCATTGGTTCCTCCCCCTATAGATTTCGTGTCCTCCCCCGTTGGCATTGGCTACTCCCTCCAGGGCAAGACTCATCTTGCAGCCTCGAGGGAGAAACGAATGGTCGATCATGATGTCCATCACTGATTCATGGTCGAGTAACTGGTGTCCATGCACCTTGTGAACGTCGTGGGGAATATCAGTGTTCGTTCCACCAGAGAGGCCCGTTTGATATCGGTTGCTTCATTCGTCGTCGTTCTCGCGTGCGGGTGTCGCCGAGTTCCGCGCATTGACGTTCGTGCCAAACTCCTTCTCGTTTGTGTCCCCTTATGCCGTTACTGATGTCCGAATAACACATCGGCATTGTACGGCAATGCAGTTCGGAAACGGTCGTCCCCCATCATTGAGCCAGTGCCTTCACCGTCTCGTGGTAAATCCTGTTCTCGTGGTGGGTCTTCGGCTGTGGTGGGTAGCAGAGGATTCCGTACGCGATCTCCAGATGTCTTTTTTGAGCACGAGCTGCCAATCACGTCCCGCCGGAGACGGCGGGGGGGGCCCCTGCCTGGTGTGTCTGTCTGAGAGGCCCGCGCGAAGGACCACCGCGCACCCTGCCGCCGTCGCAGTTAGCTTTAAGTCGGGCATGTCCCTCTACAGAAGGAATATGCAAGAATAGTCAACCAAAATAGTCTCGTGACGATTGTTCGTGCTCTGCTGACTTTTTGATATACTTTTGGACTATGTTTTATTTGTCTTCCAAAATCCGCGTCTAGGAGGACCTGTCCGACCTAAAGGTTGTCGACCATATTGGTACACTGCCTCCAAAATTCTACGGTCACGCATTCGAGGGCGTAGAACCCCTCTGCCACATCTGCGAGCTGCATGTGCGCCTGCCAGCAGCACTACATCACACAGTCAAGTCTGAACGTGTACGTCTTGCACTCTTATTCCACTCACCCACATCAGCCCGCGGCGAGCCCGGGGGGAAGTGAGAAGGGACGGGCCTTCTCAGAAGGCTCGGAAGTCCTCGGGCCTTCTGACCGGTGTTTTATCCTTCCCCGAAGATGCAGAAACCTCTCAGAAGGCGCGAGGGCTCCTGAGAAGTTCCGCCGCCTTCTGAGAAGGCCTTCTCCTTCTCAGTTCCTCTCCTCGCTCGCCGCCGATTCTCACTCCACTCACCGGCATCAGATCAAAACCAATTGCTCGTTGTGTCAAGCGTCCATCATTCAAGGTCCATCGCAGCGTCAGCGATCCTCTGCGGCGCAGACACGCTATGCCCCCCCCCATGAACCATTGTTCGAGCCAGGGGGACTAGGGGCACTAGGAAGAGGACCACCGCAAGGGAAGGAGAAGGTGGAGGAGGAGGAGGAGGAGGAGGAGGAGGAGCACGGGGAGAAGGATGAGGAGTAGGAGAAGGAGGAGGAGGAGGAGAAGGAGGAGGCGGAGGAGGAAGAGGAGCAGCATGGGGAGGACCAAAGGAAATCCAGGATGCGTCAGGGATGCTACAACACATCTTCCTGTCATAAGTCCCCCTCTGCGCTAGTCCTTCCAAGTATTCTTTCTCATTGCGGGAAGCGCCTCATTAAGTAGAGCCGTCAGCCCATATTCTAGTTATAAGAGATACCAAGTAGGATCAAGAGGGTTAGGAAGTGTCCAGCCATGAGTCCGTCAAGGGAGAAACAATACGCGACTCATCCGTGTATTTGTTGCGCAGGTTGCAGCGTGCCTTCATTGATAAGGGGAAAGTTCCCAACGCGCGAGACCAATTCTGTGAAGGAGCCATCCTTCCTCCGCGGAACTGTTGCAGGCGTTCGAGGATATTCCAGCCAGAGGCAACGTTTGACGAGGAGCCGTCTCCATCCGTAAAATTGTTGGACACGCTTGGCAATATGCGCAGATCCAAAAGGCGGGAGCTTCAGTTTGAAAGCAGGCGTCGCCATATCACTGTAACAGGTGGAAGTTTCGTGAGACGAACGTGCGCGGTGCTCAGGGCTGAGTGCGGGAGCAATTGCTGGTTGAAGAACGGGCCGCGTGTGTCCAGGCGGACTTATCCAGAAGGAGAGGTCTGGAGGAGGAGGGCGGGGGGATGAGAAAGAGGAGGAGGAGGACGGCGAGGAGGAGGACGGCGAGGACGAGGACGGAGACGAGGAGGAGGAGGAGGAGGATGAGGAGGAGAACGGCGAGGACGAGGACGAGGACGAGGACGGAGACGAGGAGGAGGAGGAGGAAGGAAGGGCTCAGACACGAGAAGGAGGCGGCGGCAGAGGAGCGCGTGCACGAGCTTGAGGACGGCGGCGACGACGGCCCTCTGAGGAGGGCGGGAAACGCTCCCCCGAGGATGGCGTGGGACCCCTCCGGCGGCGGCGTGGCGGCCGTGCCGTGGCCGTGCCTCCACGCCGCCGCGGCGCCCTGGGCGCTCCACTCGCTCGGCCCCGACCTGCACGACCCGGAGGCGCTCGCGCCGGTCCGTATCAGCACATCGGGTCTATGTCTTACAGTCGGGGCCCTGAAGAAGGAACCCTTTTCGTTGGGGAGGGGCTCGGTGTTCCTTGAATATTTCACAGTTTGTCTCGGGTTTTCCTGAGGTTTTCCATGGAACATCGAGGTTGAACTTATTGAAAAAAGGGGCCTCGTTCCTTATTCAGGGTTCCTTAGGTCAACGCCCCGACTGTAGCACATCGGGTCTATGTCTTAGTGCATAGTACATCGGGCTTCTGTTCCTGGGACTGTCTTGTTTACACGTGCTCTCGCTCTGAGAACATTTCGGGCTCTGAATCGGGGACTGGTGGGCCCTGCTCAGCTATCTCGGTACTGTGTGCCTCTGCCACTTCGTGCACTGCAGCCCTTGCTTCAGTCCCTGGGCCCAGAGGAGGAAAAGGTACCCATACCTCTCCCCTTCGCCCTTTTTCCCTTTTGGGGGGCCTCCTGGGAGACCCTCGTCGCCACCGCTGGATTCGCCTCGAGATCCTGGTCAGAACGCCCCCCAGGAGAGGTCCGGGGAGCAGCGGCATCGGTACCGTTCTGGTTTCCCCCATCAGAGGAGGAAAAGGTTCGGTAGGTTCGCGTCGTGTCGACCGGCGGCGACCCCGCCGCAGGCGTTCCACGTTGAGCGCCGCCAGCGACCCAGAGTCGGGCGATGTTGAGCGATCGGAAGTTTCGGAAAGGTGTCAGAAATCAACGCCGGGTTCGACACGACACGATTTTGCCGGCCGTTTTCCCTTTTGGGGGGGCCACCAGGGCGGCCCTCGTCGCTACTGTTGAGTTCGCCATATGCTTTTTGGGGGATTCGGGCAGGCTTACTTGCATGGCGCTCGCACCCCCCCTCCCTCGACCCTCTTCGAACGAATACTAGCGTGCAAGTGCCTTTCGACTTGCGTTATTTCCGCACGTGCAAGTCGTTTGCGGCTTGCTTCAGGTTCAGGCCCCCCCCCGTCCATGCAAGCAAATTTGCTGGAGTATGTAATGATCCCAGTGCGACCCTACCTAGGAGTTGGAGCCCCTAGGAAAACAGCATTAGTAGTAACAGTAAAGCTAAGTTAAAGCTACGCTAAAGCTAAGCTAAAGCTAAGCTAAAGCTAAGCAAAAGCTAAGCTAAAGCTAAGCTAAAGCTAAGTTAAAGCTAAGTTAAAGCTAAGCTACAACTAAAGCTAAAGCTAAAGCTACAGCTCCCAGGGGACTGGGGGAACCGCGGGGCGGATCCTTGGGCAACCGCCCGGGGCGGGGAA